AATTAATATATAAGGTGACCTGAGGTCTCCGTATTGATGATATCGATGAATTTACTTTTGTGCCTTTAATGCCTGGAGAGTTCCTAGATTGTTTTATTACTACGCAAAATGACGAACTATTTGCGGGGGACCCCAGGTCCTAGTTCAGCGTACGTTTTATCCTTCTGCGCATATTGTAGACGAGAATTGTATACCGTTGGTGTGACGTCACACACAATCCAACCAGGCTCATTTAAAACCCGGATCGTAGACCCTAACGAGATGAAATCTGCTCTACAGAAGGCGTTTGACGAAGTGGAGCAATTTTATGGACAGCAATGGTTACAGAAAAGTAAGACTTAAATAATGATTTTTCATTTATGCGAGTGAATAAATAAAGACAAAAGTTATTATTTTGTCTGTAGCAAAAGATTCCTTCGATGAGATACCACAGACTCAATATGAGAATCTTTCCCCAGTAACTACCGCCATTTACCACGCGCTGTTTTCCGTGATGCCAAAGAGGCGTTACAGATGTGGACTTGACTGTAAATATTATTTCTACCCCGTCTCTCTGTTACCGCTATGGTTTAACACGTGGTACTGGTCAATGACGCCACCTCCCGATGCCGTCACTAAACTACATGATACATGATATAATCATTTGGGAAAATTGTACATTATATTTTGAATATTGATAATTTTGATAATGAAATTAACATATTTTTTATAATATGTATTTTGGTGTGTATAAATATCAGGTTTATCCATTTTATGATAAAATATAGAGGTACTGTGGTCACTGAGCTCACTAAATTATACCCCCGCTTCCCAAAAGATTATTATGGCAAAGTGCATGTTTTGCTCTGGAAAACCCGAAATAGGTGTCAAATAAACATGTAAAATAGAAGGTTCACAATGGCATTATGTAACAAAGAATCTTTGAAAGTTAATAATTTTAATTCAGTAGTATAGGAGGAGTTGAGGGTAACCTTCATTACTAGTATTAGAGAGAGAGAATGGTATGTCAATTTTTCGCTATGGGCAAACCGAAATATGTCCGATGAAGAAATAAAATAGAAGGTGCACAATGACACTTTGTAACAAACATTCTGTAAAAGTCTCATTAAATTTCATTCAGTGGTATAAGAGGAGTTGCAGAAAAGAGTATTTTGAAACTAATATGATCTAATTAAAAGGAAGATAACTCTTGTAGATGGAATGATGGATGCTTTTAACTTTACAAATGTGATATTCTGATTTAAAAAGCAACTCTTCTGATGTGAATTAGATATGTAGGATAGTAAATTTATTTTCATATATAACTCATATTTTTAACCCAACTTAAAAATTGGGAATGTATATATAGTGATCGGGTTGTCCATCCGTCTGTTACGCTTTGGAGTACACATCTCTTCGTCGCAACTCCTGTCATACCACTGAATGAAATTTAATGAGATTTCAATGAATCTTTGTTACATAATGCCATGGTGATCTCCTCTTTTACTTTTTGATCCGACACATATTTTGGGTTTCTCCATTCCAAAACACGGACACTGCCATTCTTTCTACAATATCGAAGGGTACCCATCTCTTATCTGCAACTCTTCCTATACCACTGAAAAAAATGTAATGATACATTCACAGATTCTTTATTACGTAATGCCATTATATATGCACCATTTAATTTTCTTTTTGATCTGACACTAATTTTGGGTCTCCCAGAGCAAAACATAGACTTTGCCACTATAATCATACGGGAGACGGGGTATCATTTGACGAGTTCATTGCTCAGAGTACATGTGTGGTAGTATGAAATAAGAAATTACTGATCTTATTATTCACCATATTAGATTTTCTTCGTGTCATGGGAAAGTAAGCAATGCGTCATATTTCAGACTATTTTCCATTTGAATCTAATATTATTGTTGTTGATGAAATTATGATTAAAATAAAATGGTGAAATGTGGAGCAAAGGGATACATGTAAATACTGTGAAATATTGAAATTTACGAGGAAATGAGACTTATAATAGGCACCATCAGCTCTATAAGCTAAGTAAAATACCTTTTAAGGATTTTCCGATGTATGTTTGTAGGCAATGCAATATTTTGAAGAAGAATCTAATTCCAAAAATTGCCCGATGCCTTGAATTGAAATAACACCCACTGCATATCAAAAAAATTTCTAATGAAGCGAAGACAAAACATGAATTAATTTGTCACTTATTAAAACAGTGGACTTATACTTTGAGAATAAGGACGATTTTTGGAAATCTTATTACGCAAGCTCACGTTGATGTCGTCAGATGTCCATCGTATCTACATAAAGCCTTAATGTACATAAAGTACATGTACTTATGCTGTGTTTTTTAAACAAAGAGGACAGTGTGTAAATTTCCCGCCACACTTCAAATATTTGCATTGATCATTTTATTTGAGTAGTTTAGAGAGGTACCAACATATGCAAAAACAACCCAACAATAATGAAAACTGTTGTTTTCCAAGAAAAACAAGGACTCTGCAATATAAACCCTGCGCTTGTGAGATTCTCCATAACCGCTGTAAGCTGACTGGACAGCACCATGCGAATACCTAAATAAAAAACCAGACTATTATATTGTCATAGTCGTAAGCTTAAAAAAAGTTTAGCATTTGATTTTAATATGTTGGCTGAGTGGGAAGGCACCCTTCACGGCTTCACCTACCTCTCGAGTCCATGTCTGTAATGGCACCAACTGAAGTCACATTCGATACTCCTCTTGTGGCATCCTGTACAACATATACGTTATATCCTAAGAAAGTAAAATAAAGCAAAACTGTTATGTACATGTAAGTATATTTTAAAATCAAAGCAATGATATAGAAGGAAAGATGATAGTGAAAAATATGAATAATTATAATTTTGCAGAAAAGGAAAAGTTTTTTTTTTCTAAAAGATAAACAGATAGAATCGAGGGAAGAGCATGGACTAATAATGATATATTTTTTTTTAAAAAAAAGTAAATGTATTTTTTTAATAAATATATTTAAGCATTGAATTCATATTTTTGGAATATTCTCGAGAGGATAACACACCTGGAAAACACAACAAATTGAATTGATAATTTGTCGGTATGGCCAGGTGTGTTATAGAAAAATCCAAAAATATGAATTCATTGCTTATATTTACATTTCTAATTTTTCCTTCTTCATAATTGCTTATTTCGTTAATCTTTAATGTGAATTTAGCGCCCTTCAAAACTGCCGTGGTTAATAGATGTAAGAGCCGTATGTGGCGTCAAATGACGTTAAATGACGTTGCAAAGTTAAATTACGCAAACAAACATTGTGAGGAAAAAAGTGACAAATTAATTCTTAACGCACATTACGTTAATTTTTACTTTAATTTTTCAGGGTTATAGTTTTTCATTAAACTGAAATAAAACATTTTACATTTTGGTGTTCGTAGAGTATTGAAATTGCATGTAGTTCCTACTATGTATTCTAACGCGCGGTGACAAGGTTTTGCGTGTGTTATAGAAATTTGAACGTCGTGGATTTCTAATGGATATCATGAGGAAAATTACACTGAATGTAAATATAATGCAATGACTTAAAAAGAGCTCAATTCAATAAAAAAAAAAAACTAGCCTAGCTTCTTTGCATCCTTGGCAGTATAATAAACACAGTAATCCAACGCCAGACCAGTAATAATGACCATATATATTTTCTTCCTTCAGTTTGGCATCAAGCGAAGTGTGTGGCTGAATCCACCATTAAAAAAAAATGCAAATAGGTATATATTCTAAAATTATAAGATGGATATTTCATCTATTCAGCCACACAACCAACACTAAAGATTTGCAGATTTTTTGTTTGTTGTTGGTTTTGTGATGGATGTGGTTACCATATACCAGGTTCCATCGATATTTTCCTGTGCAATTTATCGGTTGCCACACTAACTTACTGTAAACCAACTAGTATTCGCGTTGGTTTTTCAGTTTGAAATCGATCAGCGACGATTAATGAATGCTATTATCAATGATACTATTCTCTGCAAATACAAAGCCAAATAAATGATTCGCTGCTATTAATATTCGCGAGTTAAAGTATGTTGCAAAACTCGCGGATATTTCTCGCTCGCGAATAAAAGTTGGTTTCAGTATTACCAAGAGATAAAGTTGTAATTGCTGTGCAATATTTATTAGGTAATATTCGATACTCAAGAGCATGCTCTACGTATGAACAATTTCTAAAACAGGTAAGTTATTGACAATCAAGTTGATGAAACAAGAATATCAGCAGTCTCGTTGAAAGCCATTATTCTGTAAGTTTTTTGGTCGACACAATGACCTTGTCAGCAAATACAATTTATCATTGAGTCAAATGCTGACTGAATTTTTCAAACTAATTGTTAGTCCATTATTTATACACTGAATTGACGGATTTTTCCGTTAAACAAAAGAATAACCTTGATCTAATTATATATACATTATCTTGATGCTGCACACGGCGGGTTATGTGACCGGGAAATGTCACTCCCACCTCTGATGTTTTAGAGGTCCGTGTTTGCTCTGCTCCTAATTTGTATTGTTTTATGGACTTTGATATTGAATATATCCTTCATAAATAAATGTCTATTTTTCTTATGCACAATTAAAAAGAATAAATTAAACATAAACTATGAAATGTAAAGGAAAAGATTTTCTCTAAAGAATATATTTGATTAGCCAATACAAAACATAGGTAATCAGAGATTACAGAGCTCACCTAACGAATGTTGTCTTTAAGTAAGGCAAAGTCACACAATTCACCAACAAAAAGTGTACATTCCAAAAATGAAAATATTTAAGCAATTTTGATCTGATACTTTGAAATAGACCTACATAAAAAATTTAAACTAGTTCTTCTTCATGAAAATCTAGTCAAAATCCAGCATCTGAAGCAAATTTGAGAGTTTTCATCTCTTGATGCAACATTTGTGCAAGTTTGGTTTATACAATGTTATATAAGCCTTTATAGTTATAGTTTTTTGGAAATAGACCTGCAACCATAACTTTTACCTGGTCTATTATCTGAAAAATGTATGTCAAATTCAGCATCCAAAGCATCCATTAGTGTGTATCCTAAGATGTATCATCCATGCAAGTTTGCTCATTATAGGGCTCATAGTTAATTGGAAATGAAACATGCATCAAAAACTAACATTTTCACTCATCCACAAAAAGGAGGTCAGATTCAGCATCCGAAGCAAGCCTGGTAGTATGCATCCTTAGATGTATCATCCATGCAAGATTGGTCATTAAAGAACTCATAGTTACTTGAAAATGAAACCTGCACCAAAAACTTTTACCTGTTCACTCAACCAGAAAATGTAGGTCAGATTCAGCATCCAAGCAAGCCCGGTAGTGTGCATTCTTAGATGTATCATCCATGGAAGTTTGGTCAACATAGGGCTTAAACTTACTTGCAAATGAAACCTGCACAAAAAAATTTAACCTGTTCACTCAACCGGAAAATGTAGGTCAGATTCAGCAATTAAGCAAGCCCGGTAGTATGCATCCTTAGATGTATCATCCATGCAAGTTTGGTCAACATAGGGCTTATAGTTACTTGGAAATAAAACCTGCACCAAAAACTTTAACCTGTTCACTCAACCAGAAAATGTAGGTCAGATTCAGCATCCGAAGCAAACCTGGTAGTATGTATCCTTAGATGTATCATCCATGCAAGTTTGGTCAACATAGGGCTTATAGTTACTTGGAAATGAAACCTGCACCAAAATCTTTTACCTGTTCACTCAACCGGAAAATGTAGGTCAGATTCAGCATCCGAAGCAAGCCTGGTAGTATCAATCCTTAGATGTATCATCCATGCAAGTTTGGTCAACATAGGACTTATAGTTACTTGGAAATGAAACCTGCACCAAAATCTTTGCCTGTTCACTCAACTGGAAAATGTAGGTCAGATTCAGCATCCGAAGCAAGCCTGGTAGTATGCATCCTTAGATGTATCATCCATGCAAGTTTGGTCAACATAAGACTTTTAGTTAATTAGAAATGAAACCTGCACCAAAAACTTTAACCTGTTCACTCAACCGGAAAAAGGTCAGATTCAGCATCCGAAGCAAGCCCGGTAGTATGCATCCTTAGATGTATCATCCATGCAAGTTTGGTCAACATAGGGCATATAGTTACTTGGAAATGAAAACCTACACCAAAAACTGCACCAAAAATGTTAACCTGCTCCAAAAAACATTAATCTGGTCATTTCTTTGTTTAAACCGCAGCATCTGAATCTTGCATTGGTACAATGAAAGACACTAGAAGCATCTTCCATGCATGTCTAATCAATATAGGACATAGAAGTACTTAAAAAGAAAACTGCCCCAAAAAACTTAACCTTAAGAAAATGTCGACGCCGACACCGACGCCGATAGGGTATTTAATTAAGCTCCCCCAACTTCGTTGAGGTGAGCTAAAAAGGAGATATTTTTAATACTTTTTAAATATTAAAATGATGCTTTGAATATTCAATACCTGACAAGGTATATGTTTTACGATGATATCACTGTTTTCTTTGTTTATGTCTACAGCAAATTCAGCGTCGTTCGTGTTCTTCACACAGTGATCTGGCCACAGTGCCTGAGTAATGTTGTACTTCACATCACATTGTGTGGATGAATTACACAGACTACCTATGGTAACAACATAATTTTCTATAAAATCTATATCTTCACTTAATTATTAAATGGGGAATTTTTAAACAAAGTATTAAGAGGCAGTCCGCCGAAAAACCAGGCAGGGTTGTATTAATAGGCGGCACATCGAATGTGACGAATATTTGAAATTTTATTGAAAACAATATCAATGTAGTCCAAATGGAATAATGTAATCGAAGATTTGTTTTAAAATTGCTTATTTAGTAAAATATCCTTTTGTTTCGTTTCTTGAATTACCCTATATAAACCATTGAATTTAGGTCAGAAACAACAAACTGTAATTTCCAATACTTATTTAACAGGATTATAATTCATGCTGAACTAAATTTAGAAATATTTCAAATTTTCAGTTTCAAAAATAAAATTGGTGGGCAAAATACTTTTGATAGTAGTTTTCTGTCAAAATATAGAGACGTTTTTATGAAATTTTGCGATGTAAGAGTTATCTCCCGTGGCATCGATAAATCTGCTAAACACCTTACTATCGAAATCCTAGTGAAATATTTAGAATATATACACAAAATAAAATTATTTAACAAGAAATTACTACTTTATTTTCAAAATAGAATTCATTTTCGCCTCCAAACGTAATATTTAGATTAAGATTGGCAGTATAAGCCCCTTCACGATAACTGCGGTACTACACTTTTGCAGGGCAAAATAATAACGTTTGGCGGAGTTTTTGTTGATAGATAATTAAATGACGTATTTTAAACAATTACTTTAACGTCATATTTCACCAAAATATATCATTTTGCCCTGCAACAGAGTAGTACCGCAGTTACCGTGAAACGGTCTATTATTCAGGTTGAATCCACGTTTCCATTGATGTATCAGTGACGTCATATACCTGACTAATATTGCGTCACAATTAAATAGTTACAAGTTTTCCAAAGAAGTTTGTAAATTCTTTGCATAAAAGCGCAAATAAAACGATTAAAAATAAATAATTTCTCTTTTTCTGTTCAATTACTTTTCAGAGTGCATTATCCTACATGTTAAATACGTAATCATATATTTTTATATAAAATGTATTTTTTTCACGGGCGACGTCTCAGCTAAAAGTAATTTTGTACATGTCCGAGAACTAATTTTTTAAACTGATTTACTAGGCTATGCGTACAAATAATTAATTGTTTATATTGAATATTTCTTATAAAATTGGGATGTGAAGAGATTTTATTTTCTTCTGATTATCAAGGAAAGATGAATATTTTAGATTTACGCAACATTTAATTCAAGTCAACGGAGTTGAGATATTTATTTCATGATATTTGTAAACACACACACATACACACACACAAAAAAAACACTTGATTATATTTATCTATGCAGTCAAACCAAAGTAAACGATCCGCGGTACGATTAAAAATATTTTATTAAAAAAGTGAAAAATAAGATTTAAAAAATATTTATTGAGGAAAATTACTGTTGAACTCCCCACTTCAATTTGCCACTAAAACGGAAGATTTCGTGGGCGTATTTTTTGTTTTGTATTGCTTTTGTTTGGTTTTTTTTGTTTTTTTTTTGGTTAAATTTGGTGATTGAAACAATCACATACTCACATTCAATATGAAGTTAAAAAATGTGACCATGTTGGCCAATTCTAAAATGTTTTCCCATTAATGAAAGTTTTTTTTTTAATATGCCACCTTGCCCCCCCCAACCCCGTCCCGGCTTTTTGCTTGCGATTTCTAGCCTCTTTAAAAATCATAATACTATATATGAAATACCTTTTTTTTCTTATTAATATAAAATTAAATTTTGTAAGATGAAAATATATGGGACACGGCTTTTATAGATGACAGGTTTAAAAAATTTGGATAAAGCCGAGACTGTGCACATTTAAATATTTTCTGCATTTAGGTAGTGCAAGTGTATTTTCGCCAATGATAGAATTGAACTCTTTAATTCACGAGAGAATTAAAAAAAACTTTAGTTGGAAATAAGATATTTAATAAAGATAAGCTGTTTACTCTCAGTTGTTGCATAATGCAAGTACAAATACTTGCTTTTTAATACCGAG